GCCCAAAGCAGCTTTCACTGTCAACTCCAGTGGTGCCCTCTAAACAACCTGAATTGCCGGCAAAAAGTATAAAGCCAACACTTGCTAGACAAAACCACGCTGCGCTAACTCTCGTGTGCACCAATGTTCCCGAATCCAAATCTGGCACAATAAAAGGCAAGTTGCAAGACGATCGCAACCAGTGGAGTTCCATCTGCGAGGCGATTGGTATTCGGGTTGAGCCTGCAACGCTGCAACGCGTAGCACGTCACCCGACCTCAGTGCACTCTGGTGAACCTCGAATTCTTCGAGTAACTCTAAACTCAGCAGATGAGACAGAGGCTGTCCTGCTCTCAGCAGTTCGTCTTCGCAACTCACCGAGCGGAGTGCGCATATTACCTGATCTACCTTGGAAAGACCGCGCAAAAGAAGCAGTGGAGCAACGCGGTATTGCTACTAGGGATAGCAAGAAAACAATATTTGTTCATGGTGTTCCCGAGCTCCTGCATGCTTTTGATCACGATGCACAAACACATGACCGAGAACAGTGGTGCTACATCCGCGAAGCACTCTCTGTTGACAATGTTATTGCCAAATCCCTAACAAGAGTTCCGTTATCACCTAACTACAAGGGCTGCGGTCCAAGGCTAATGAAGGTAATACTACACTCCGAGGGAATGACGCAAGTTCTGTTGGATAGCTGGTTAAAGTTTCGAGCTAGGTTGCCAACAGAAATACGGCTAAAGGCAGCAGGCGAACGACCAAAAGTCGGAAGAAATTCGATGGAACTTGCAAACCCTGCAAATTCTTTATTTGCACAGTCCTTCGGAGAGACCGACACAACAGCGCCCACGTCACACAGGAGGACCGAGCACAGCACGAGTGAACCATCAGTTCAGGAACGCTCAATAATGTCATGTAACACGACTGAAATACATAAACCAAAAAACGATTAATTGCCGGCCACCTAACGGCCGGCTTAAAAGCGAACACAAACTTGACATCCACCAATGAACTCCTAACCACAAAAGCCCTATCTTGCATGTACACAAACGCTCAAGGCCTTCGAAGCAAGTTGGCCGAACTTAGAGAACTCCATGCCTCACAACCGCGGGACCTCGTCATGATTACAGAGACATGGTTAAACCCTGAGATAACCGACTGTGAGATCAAGTTACCCGGTATGTCGCTGCTTCGGACCGATAGAACCGGAATGGGTGGCGGTGTGATTCTTTATTATAATACAAGCCTCCGATGTGAAGTTATCGATCACCCGGAAATCCGAGCTCCCGATTCGCTTTGGTGCCGCCTTTGGTTGCGAAACAAGGACACATGTCTACTAGCCGTGGTTTATCGCCCGCCAAACTCAACGTCGGAAATGGACTCCAAACTGTACCACGTTTTTCAGTTTGCTTTGAACAAGTCCTACACCCACATTCTTATCGCGGGAGACTTTAACGTGCACGACATAGAAACGCCGGCAACTGACGGTACGCAGTTTAAAGCCTGTTTGCAAGAACTTATTGCTAGCCACCCTCTTTACAACCACGTAACCTCTCCCACCAGATTTCGAACTTCTAACAAGCCGTCGATACTGGATCTTGTGCTAACTAACGAAGAACTCATGGTTGGCGGGATAGTTACAAGCACACCACTGGGTCGTAGTGATCATGTCACTCTACTCTTTGATTATATATGCTATGCCGAGTACCCGGAAAAGGAGGAGGATAAAGTGCACACTGTCACGCACTACAATGTGTTGTCCAAGCTTGTTAAGGATACATCTTGGACTTTCTTAATCGAATGCCCCCCAGATCTGGCCTGGGATATGTTTACAAGGACTTTGAGCACACTGGTAGCGCAAGCATCGGAACAGAAGTCCTTCCAACCCAAAAACCAGAGTAAGTCATTTCTGAGGAGCAGAACACGTAAATGTATGTCCCGGAGGGATTTGGCATGGCGAAATCACCAGGGTTGCCCGAATGCCGAAACCTGGACTGCATACGTGACACATCGTAACTTCTGTGTGAAGCTGATCCGCGAAGACAAGGTCACGCATCAGCAGAAGTTAATGAAGCGATTCTGCACTAACCACAAACTCCTGTATAGGCACATTAACGGCCTTCGAAAGGTAAAGCGAGGGGTTCCGGCGCTAGTCACGGCTGATGGATACACGCGGTCAGCAATGGAAGCAGCTGATCTCCTACGGCTTCATTACTCTCAAACGTTCCAACAAGTGTCGAGCCCAAACATTCACCTCATTTCTAATACTCCACCATCTGGTTTAGAAAACATCACCTTCACTACGGAGGCTGTGTTGAAGAAGTTGTTATCCTTGCGTATCCACAGTTCTCCCGGAGCTGATAACATCCGACCAAAGGCTCTACAGGCAGTAGCTAGTGATCTAGCAGGACCACTGGCTGTTTTCTATCAGCGATGTCTAGAGGAAAACCTTATTCCACCAGTATGGAAGCAAGGGGTCATCACTCCTATCCATAAAGGAGGTAGCCGCACTGATCCTGCAAACTACCGTCCAATAACACTACTTCCAGTACTATCCAAAGTGATGGAATCAATCGTCGCAGACGCGCTGATGCAATATTTGGAAAGCCACAATTTAATAGCCCCAGAGCAACATGGCTTTCGTCAAAAGCATTCGTGTAATACTAACCTATTAATTGCACGTAATAGCTGGACTGAAGCTGTTGATGATGGGGTTGGAGTCGATGTCATCTACCTGGACTTTTCAAAAGCGTTTGATCGTTTAGACCATCGAGTTCTCCTTCAGAAGCTTCGGAACTACGGCATTGGCGATCCAATCCTGAGTTGGATTAGCAATTTTCTACAAGAACGACGGCTAGTGGTGAGAGTCCGAGAATCATTTTCTCATGCAATCGACGTGACGTGTGGAGTACCACAAGGCTCGGTTCTTGGACCTCGTCTATTCTTGGTGTTCATTAACGATTTGGCGAGATCAATTACTTCCGATTTCTTATTTTTCGCTGATGATATCAAGATATGGCGAAGGATCAGAGGACCGGATGACCATGAACGGCTCCAGCACGATCTTAACACAGTGTCGAACTGGTCAGTTCAAAACGCTCTACCGTTCAACGTAGACAAATGTCGCGTAGTACAATTACGCCATAGACATAACTACACCTACATACTTGGGACAAACGAATTGCAGAATAGCTCCCAGGAACGTGATCTTGGTGTGATCGTACAGAGCGACCTCAACTGTTCAAAACAGGCTGAGGTAGCTGCGAAAAGAGGCAACCAGCACGTCGGCATGCTGCGAAGGGCATTCGGGAGATTTGACCCATCAATCTTCCCAATGATGCTCAATTCCTACGTGCGCCCGCATGTTGAGTACGCAATCCAAGCTTGGCAACCTTGGTTGAAACGCGACCTAGAAGCGATAGAGGCACCACAACGGAGAGCAACAAAGAACGTGAAGGGCCTGCGGTATCACTCTTACCACCGAAGGCTGAAGTTGCTGGGAATTTTCAGCGGACGTTATCGAAGGCTGCGCGGCGATCTCATATTAGCGTATCAGATATTGAGTGACCCCAACCACGTATGCCGCCATTTGCTGAAACTTAGCCACAACACGCAGCTCAGGGGTAACTGCTTAAAGTTGAAGGAACAATATAGCCGTCTAGAGTGTCGACGGAATTACTTTTCCCTTCGGGTTTGCAAACCTTGGAACGCACTCTCAGACTCAGTAGTATCCTCTCCTACCCTGGATGTTTTCAAAAAACGATTAGATGTTGCTCTCAGCTCTCAACATTTTGTTACCTAAGCTCCTCTGCTGTGGATTACGCCAAGCATGTTTTCAACAGGACTAATGTATCAAATGGACCTAAGTGAGCGACCATATTTTATTTTCTCACTCCTTACCTCAACTATCACTGCGCCCCAGTGTCTTTCTGAATGTTTACGCGCGATATTTCTTTTTCATTTCACACTGATGTTAATTATCAAAGTATTCATCTCGGCAGACGTTCGATAGATGACCCAGACATATTTTAATTGCCTCATATTCACCGCTACCATCCTACGGGACGTGTCAAGCACTTGCTTTTATCCCGTGATAAATCATTGTTCATTGTTCATAGCCTTATCCTTTAACAGATATATTCTGTTTGTTACTGTCATTTCAAGTGATGGCTGTCGTTTGACATCCCGGTGCGACTGCGATTGATGTGCATGTTGACAAGGTGTCTACCTGTTTAATACCCACCACCTCGTCCATACTGTCTCTAGAAGATAGTTGGTCGTTGCTGTAGGGGACGGGGTGCACGGTTCTTGTGGTCGTGCTAAGCTCGAAGAGTGGTTCCATGCACTCAGTGTAGAGCGGACTACGGTCCAATCACCGCCTTGTGTGCGCTTGATTCCCAAATACAGCGTGCTTGTGTTTCCCAGTGAACGAGTGTGAGCCGGCTCCGTTGATGAAACGTGGCTCCCATCCACATGCCTCCCGGTCTTATTCCCTCGGGTTTACACTGGATATGGGGTGTGTGGTTGGAGCTGTGGGTGGTGCAGCGCAAGCCATCCATGGCCCCTCTGTAGGCGCAGGCGTCCTGTGGCTGGCCGCAGTGACAGGCAAATCCGAAACCGGATGCCGCCAACCATATATATATATATATATATATATATATATATATATATATATATATATATATATATATATAAGCGACAGAACTAGAAACCATGGATCAGATTATGAACAAAGTCAGGAGGAAGAGAGAATCGTGTTCATGTCGTGCAAAGTGTGGACAACAAGAAGAGAGTCTTATGATAACATCGCTTCGGATTAAAGAAAAGACAAATTGACAAGGGTTGCCCCAAGCTAAACGATGATAATATTTGTGTCCAAGTTCAAGTACATCACCGCATTAACATACCAGTGACTATAAAAAGGATGCAATAAAGGAGCATGCAGCAAGAACCTGGGAACAAGTAAGCAAGGAACAAGTAAGCAAGTAATGAAACAAAATGTAGTGATCGATACTAACCTGAGCTATCCCAAGGGCTTGACCAGCGATTCCAAGCCGGCCACCGTCCAATGCTTCCATTGCAATCTTAAAACCCCCTCCTTCCGCCCCGAGCAATCCATGAACGCCGTCGTTTGTTAAAAGACAATCATCGAAAGTTAAGGTCACGGTGGACGTGGCTCGAATTCCCAATTTTTCTTCTGGCTTCCCAACAGTCAAACCATCGACGGGTTTCCGCAGTAGAAAAGCTGAGATACCTTTATGCTTTAGCTGGCGACTAGTGCTTGCAAATACTATAACCGCTACAGCTTCCAACCCGTTTGTGATCCAACACTAGAGAGAGAAACACCGAAAATTATACGGATGCTGCTTACAGGATAAACACAACAAAGGGACTAACGAGGAGCAAATTGGCGGTGTTTGGACATGGTTATGTATGCCAAGTGAGATAAGCCATGGGTTGGATGACAGGGTCCATTCTACGTAAGTAACAGATCGAGTGGAAGAAGTATCAAAGATAACGGTATCCATTACTTGCGACCTGCGAAGAGACTGCGGACAGCGTTGATGGTAATGAACACGCGCATTCAAAGGAGGAATGCAGACTCACCTTTGTTCCATTGAGAAGCCAATCATGACCCTGACGAGTGGCATTGGTAGACACAGCACCAGCATCACTGCCGTTACCAGGCTCAGAGAGGGCGAAACAGCCGAGCTTTTCACCAGTCATAAAAGGACCAAGAAAGGCTTCAATTTGCTTGGAAGATCCGTGTTTAATAAGAGGGACGAGAAAAAGGGAATTTTGAACCGACATGATGGTTGCGACAGACGCGCACCCTCGACTGATCTCTTCCATCGCAACCACATAGGCAAGATAATCCAGTCCTGGTCCACCGAATTTTTCAGGTACAAGCATATTCATCAGACCCAGCTCACCGAGTTTGAGAAGCTAGGTCAAAGTGCGGAAGAAGGAGGTTTACTTCATGTGTTGAGCTACCTCGTATGAGGGAACAACCTGATGTGAGATGAAGGCGGAAACGCTTCGAGCGACAAGATGACCGATGAAAATTAGGGTTTAGATAAGTAACGAGATCGTAAAGCAACATTACCTGAAATGTGTGACTACCGCATATGGGAGAGTGGCCATGCTGTATGTTTAAATAACGGGCTGAATAAACGCTGCTCAGGAGCAGACTCAGTGAAGTTAAACGTCGCACAAAGACACAATAAATTTGATTGGATGGTCATTTTGTAGTGATCACTGTGCGAGTGGATTGAAGCGCACAATCTCAAAGCGGACCGGGATTCCCATTGACGTGAATCCTGGCCGATTCGACCACTGGGACCGTTAATGATGAAGCAGGTAGATATTGAGTGTTTCCCGCAAGAAAACATTGCACTCAACGATGCATTTCGATTTTGCTTGATCACAACAGGTAGTAACAGCAGGGACACTCCAAGTATTGTGTCGCAATACATAAAGATAGCTGTCGAAAATTATAGAATGCTAAAAAAAAACAGGCGAAAAACCACTGAGTAACATATTATGCGTCAAGAGCGAGATCGTAGTTGAAGGGGGAAGATAAGCGGAATGGGGAAGGACAAAGAAACTCACAACACTGAGGCCAAAGAGATCGGTTCCTTGCCATCTCAACTAGTGTATCCAAGCCAACGTTTTCATCGTCCTTCGGACCCCAGCCAGGTAGTCGGAACCCACCAACCGACGACAACTTCATAATGAGGGACTTCCTTCCTCTTGACCAAGTCATCGCTTGGTCACCCCTCCACTTCTTCCATCCGCGCCCGCGGCGCGCAAAAAAACGCAGGACGCGGGACACGGTGGGCTGACATGCGCATTACGTGGTTCAACCATCGGAGTCTGGTGCGTGAATTGGTGCTGCGCGGTACACTCGCTCCTCCTGTACCAAATACACTACGCCGAACCCGCTAATTGATCACGTGACATGAACTAGGCTGTGAAAGCAGCGATGATCGAACGTGACTAGCCTCTTTGTCTGTCGAGTTGATGGGCCGGGTTTCGCAACCATATAGTAGGGTTGAGCGGTCGATCGCATTAGAACGTTATTTGAGACGCGTACCCCTTTCGCATCGTTTAACCGATGGACGCCCATCACTTACGACAATGAAAGAGTTGCTCCTACAAAGCAATATCATCATTAGGGCGTACTGTGCCAGTGTCAGATATTACTTGACGCGTCCGTTAACCGGCTCTATTTGCCTTGGCTAGACTGTGGGAGAAAGAGCGGCGCAGGGTAACTGAATGGGCCGGTACGAAATAATGATGTAACCTCAATCCGCAATAACCAATGGTCGAAAAACGGTAAGTCAATTCCCGTAAGTGAGCGCAAAAGGAACTGCCGACTATACCGACGTACACTGTATGACGTGGCTGCCCCTGGATGGGTGAAAGGGCGAGATTCGTTTTGACTGGGGGGTTTCGGGAAGTCACCGTAGTGGTTAACGGCCAGTTGCTATGCAACTAGTCACAAGATTTTGTATTGTATTGTATTTTGTATTGTTTTAACACCCACCTGTGGTTTGACGCAGTCTATGCAAACACTACTGGACAGACTGACGCGTAGCGCTGCACGCTTCGGTAGGCGCATTGCACCTTCAAAGTGCAAAGTACTGTTGCAGGACTGGACCGATACCCCAGCGGCTATAGTTATCACCGAATAGCCACTGGAAGTGGTGGATCGATTCACTTACATTAGTAGCCGTGTCACACCTGGTGGTCACATTACCGGAGAGGTCACTTCGCGTATCAGAAAGGCCGGCGTGACTTTTCAGAGACCCAACTATCTATGGAGACGACGGGATGTCAGTCTGGCCGTGAAAGGTAGGGAGTACAACGCTGCGGTAAGACCGGTCTTACTGTATGGATCAGAAACCTGGCCAGTTCGCAGCGAAGACATTAAACGCGTGGCCGCGTTCGATGACCGGTATTGCGAAATATTGCTCACATTTGGGGAGCAATGTTGTGGTCCGCCAGTTGGATTTTGGTAAGAAGCCTTCTGGTGTGACACTCGAATGTTTGCTGAATGTTAACCGCTGTTGGTTAGGCCATGTCCTCCGTATGCCTGTTGACCGTTTTCCTTGGTGTGCATTATACGCCGTGGCCGCACCAAGGTGGGTGAGGTGGCCAGTCCAATACGTGGCATAAAGGCATGAAGAAAGTGACTGAAGGACTTGGTCAAGTTGGCCTCAGGAAGGTCACACCAATGGTTGAAGACCGTATCAGACACGGCGCAATCACGCAGTCAGTGGCGTTCCTGCATGCGGTTGTTAATTTTCGTTCCAATCACATTAGCTTAACGCGCTTCCTTCTTGCTTCTATCTTCTTTATATTCCAGTTTTTATTCACTCTACTATCCTGCCGTTACTATTTATTGTTTTTCTTGCGATGCGATTCGTGGCAACTGGATCCACCGCACTCTGGTGATCGGATTACAGTTGTTCTACTGAACTGAACTGTACAAAATTTACAAACACTTTTCGTGCTTTACTTTCGGCAAAATAAACGATAGCACAGGCAAGATTCAGCTCATCAACAAGTTCCCTCTCTATGGAGAGGTGTTTAGTCTGTGAGCATTGTCTGGTTCATTGCTGATGAAACGTAATTCTTTGTAAGCTTTGGTTTTGAGAAAATGAGCGCACAGCTGGATATCAAATAGGGACAAATCTCAACGACACCTGATCAGCACGCAAACAACCGCGTCTTTACTAGGCACACGATTAACGTATAAATCGCCGTATTTGAGACTGTACAGAAAGATCATGAAGGCCAGAGTCACGCATGCGCTTAAATGGGACCAGAGGGACCCCTGTAATGAGGTGGCCGTTGTGCAATGTCTTATGGACAACAATGCATCTCATTCACTGGTGTCCAGAATGGGAGAGTGATGGGTAACGGGACAGTTGTGTGCAAAGGCCCGTAGCCTTAAGGTAAAGAGCTTGTCTTGTATTCTGACGGTGCGGGTTCCAGATTGCGTAGGGGGAGGGTGACACTCGCAGTATGCTCAGCCCACGTCCGACCGGTGGTGGTTGCGGGGCAGAGAAGCGTCGGTACTGCGTACCGGCGTACTAATTAGGCCTTTCTTTTTCTTAAAGGCGAGAAGGAAGAGATGGCAAACAGGTGTGACGTGTTTTTAGTTATCCACGGTAACATTGCAATATTTAACCATCGGCTTATCTGGAAATCTCGCCATTTACACTTGACATCGAACAATCATTAGTACTAAAAATGAAGCCCCTTGTCATATACCGCCCGGGGCGGATCGTCTCCATTGCTACGTCTCTGGTGAATACCTTACAAGGCATGGTGTATATGTACAGCTGGTTTCTCACAGCCGGCTGTTAGCAGTCCAATCCTAGTGATATATGGATTTCCCCCGTTTTCATTTGCACTTCACTGGCATACCATCTTATTCTCCACAGTACTACAAATTATTGTTTTCCTGGTGTCACGAGTCATGGCAATTAAATCCATCACAATTCGTTGGTTGGATGATAACTGTCTAACTGAACTGTACCGATGTAGGTGGGTGAGATGTGAACAGTACACTTCCAGTAGCTAGTCAACTAAGTTTCGCAGAGGATGCTAACAGGCGTAAAGTTAGTAACTCGCCACTAGCCATTCTGAAATTGATCAAATGGGGACGACGCACATTGGTTTTTAAAATTAAAACAGGTGACGGCTTCACCACCTTACAAATCCTTAAAGATGTAATAGGTACTGTCGGACGGTTTGAGAATTACATGTCATAATGGTAAATTAGTATAGCTTAGATCTTTCGGGTTTGGGGTTGGACGCTGACTCAATAGCGGTTTCGTAAAAACGACCAGTGAAGTCAATCGCTGAACAAGCTCAGCATTGCATTTAGTTTTAAATCAAATATCTTGCTTTAGGATCCTAAGAGTTCCGCTGGCTTTTGAAACTCTGGTGACATCAAACTCATTCTGCAGCAGCATTCGCGTAGTTCCAAAAAGAGAGGCCTTATCAGTTGCGTATGGTAAGGTGAAAAAGCAAAAATAGACTACTACTGAAGTATCCTAATTCAACCCTGTGCCTCCATATTCTCCAACGTAAAGAAAGTGAAAAATATAACACCAGTGGCGCTTTGTCTGTTATCAGAAATCCCATGAGGAAACAAACTACTTGAGGCACAATGTTCAGCTTCAAAGGGAGGATAACAGGTAAATATTGCGCAATCTGCTATCCGAAAACTGGTTCTCCCGGGTTGTGTAGTCTGTTGTGTGATTATATTAAGAATCGTACTCACTTCACCAAATTAAAGAAATCCTGTTCTCCCTGTCGACTGTAGCCTTCAACAGGGAGCGATCCTATTACCTTTCCTATTTTCCTTGTGTTTAAAGTCTTCCTATATAAACTATATTTACAAGAAGTAAATACGCTGATGAAGTTGTGCTGAGATGTGTGGCCTCCCAGTATTCAGGATTCCTCACCCCTTCAACGTGGGTTGGGTGGAGTGGTCCTCATCCAGATGCCGTACACTTAAAGCTTCCAAAGGCATTGATGTCATATTTCCGTTTCATCGGAGCGATAAGTTGCAGTATTTCATAGATATCTCCACCAACCTCACTGTGAACGGAAATCCCATACCCAGCTCATCCACGGCATCATTTTGTCACAGAAGCTGCCCCAGTCTACGCGTGTCTGTGGAACTCTTCCTAATCAGAAAACTTTCTTCGTATGCCCTCTGTGTCCTGGTGGTAGTCATAAGTACCACTTTGTTTAAATTGTAATCCTGCTTAAATGCAAGCGTTATACCTGGCACTTACGAGAAAAGGTACAATAGCCTTCTGATAACAATTGGATAAGGGCCAGAACTCTGATACTTTGCTCTACAGTGTGTGGTTAACTTTTGTGGTTCATGTTGAGCGTGGTCGGAAATTGATTTCAGAGAGCTGTGAGTGGTTGCACTACTTGTTAAAATTTAGTTGAGTTTGTTGTATCTTGTCAGTCTTACTAAT